ATGGATCTTGTTTGGGTCAGGCACACTGGAGGAAAAAAAAAAGGAAAAAAAATCAAGGTTATGGAAAAATATATGAGAAATGAAGATGCAGGGTCTGCAAGAAGAAAGGGGAAGGAGAGTCGAGGTCCCTCCTGCATAGCAGGGCCTATAAAACCCAAAGTGAAACAGTTACCCCAATTCAATCAAGAAGTCACAAGGTACCCCTGGGGAATTAGATGGAGCAACCTTCAAGTGCCCATGGAATGAACTCCAAGACACTCAGCCCATCTTATGGCTCTCCCACAGCGGGTCCAAAGCCATCTCCTTAGCAGTTGTCTCTTCCCATGTGGCCACCCACCATTTCTAGGACACACACGCTCATTTCTTCCTGTCCCACCTGGCGTGCTCTTCTCTTGTTCCGACTCTGGAATCCTCACCTCTGGGGCCAAACACTATAGAACAGTTCTGCCCTCTTTCTCTCCTTTCCCTGTGCTCTACCTATAAAGAGTTCCTCTGTGACCTTCTCTGGGGCTTCAGCTTGGCCTCTGACAAGCTTTCTACCTTGCCCTCTAGCTATCTTATATACAACATGGAATTTAGTCCAGGACACACTGGAAGGAAAGATGATCCCTCACTCATTCACAGACAGACAGACACACAGACACCCACACATCCACATACCCACCAGCAATTCATCCTAGTTGTTACCACATAGCCAGGTAACATGACATCAGGTCCCTTGACCTCATCCTGCAGGGCAGGAACCTTGTGGTTCTCCTTCCAGCTCCAGCTGAGACCAACTCACCTCTCCATGCTCAGAACACTGTGGAATGTGGCGGACTCATCAAACACAGATAACATGTAAATCTCGTCTATGATCACGTGAAGGTTGTATCTGCAGTTTGGGTATAAGGAGAAGAAGGAAATCAGCTTCTTTCTAATCTTAACATTATTTTATGGTCTTCTCTGGATGTGGCTCAGATGCTCTGACTGTCCTAGCAGCTCAACCAACCCTTCCAAGGGGTGTAGTAATATAGAAGGAGTGGCATACCAGAAGGGACCCTTCCACCTAGCTGATGGGTACTGGGAAGGAATAGCCCCCAAAGACACACACAGGGCCATCTCATGTGACCTTTCAACCATCAAGCAGAAACCAATGGGAAGAGGCTGAACATTCTAGAGAGGTTTTTTTTTTTTGGAGAGGTTTTTGCTATAGGGCGCGTGCGCTCGCCAGACAGACAGAGAGAGACAGAGAGACAAGAAGCAAGAAATCACCCCTCAAGGGGGATGGCCACACCACGATCCCTTCTCCTCCATTCTCCTCTCAGGATCTTGGGCGCACACGCACCCGGTGTGAGTTTAAACCACCGGGTCCAGGGCTCGAACCGCGGTCGACTACGTGGGAGTCCAGTGCCATAGCCATTACGCTAACTGCTGGTCCCGTAGAGAGTTTTCTTCTGGTATGTCAGGAGCTCCCACCCAGTGGGTGAATCAAGGCGTTTCACCACATGGCTAAATGCTTATGTGTCATCTCACGTATTCTCCTAACAATGTTCTGAAACGGTGTCATCTCCATGTCACAGATGGAGAAGCGAAGGCTCTGAGATGTACAATTAATTCCTCCAGTGAGCAGGTGCTGGAGTGGGGATTTGGAACCAGATCTGTCAAATTCCAACCCAGAGTTGGTCTGAGTTTGACATGAACTTCGACTAACTCTGCTCTAAAAATGGGAGACTATCTGCACTAACTAATAGAGCAGTTCCAGGACTCCAGAGACAACTGACGTTAACATGTTCTTAGGACAGGTACGTGGAAGTACTGTACAAACACGTCTTCATCCCACAACACCTGAGGGTCTACCGTCCTCAGCACCAAAGCCCCAGGAGATTGAGAAATGGAAGGTGAGAGATAGTGCTGAAGCTATAAAAAGTAGAAAAGCCAACCAGCAGGAGGTGTGGTGGGTAAGGCACCGGATCCCAGATGGCTGACTCTGCAGTTCAAGTCCTGGACCCAGTGGCCTGAAAAAATACACTGGGCATGGGTGCACACATACCCAAAGTCCTGAGAGAGCAGTGGAGAAGGGATTGCAGCATGACCGTTGCCCCAAGAGATGGCTCCTCACTTTCCCTATCTTTCTCTATAGGGTACATGCCCTATGACAGAAAATATAAAAAGCAAAGTAGAAAAGCAACAAAACTAGAGGCTATAAAGGAAATAGCGAAAAAGTTTGAAGGTAGTAAGCACGTGGGTGCATTTCCCTTCATTTCACTTTCAGTTCTATCATTCTGCAAATGTGTGATGTGTGGTAAGACGATGTAGGGTAAATTACTTCCGGTTCTGGCTTCTTGACCCTGAGTGTGATGAGAGCCCTTTTTACAGCCATCACCTCGTCTCAGAGGTAGGAGCTCATACCTTTGGGCAAACTCCAGGTAGTCCTTCAGGGCATCTCGGGAGTAGATATCACCTAGAGGATTCTGAGGGTTGATTAGCACGAGGCCTCTGACCTTTTTCCCCTGAGAAGAACACAACAACATCTAAGTGAACACAAGTTTTAACATCCACCCCAACTCCAGGATCCTTACAGATCAGGACACCCAATATGGCAGGATCTTGAATCAGCAACTACCGTACTGAGCACAGAGAAGGAACAGGAAGGAGGTCTGGGGTCACCACATTCCCCATGGGCCCTGGCTCCTCGAGGGACATGCCCCTGGGATCACTCTCTTCTGTATAAAGAGAGCTCGCTAGGTTTGGTGAACAAGTGGTACCAGCATCTCAGTACTGAGCGCTTCTCAGGGCCAGAGCAGTGGCCACTCTCCGAGTGTGGTCCCCTCCTTACGTCGAGCTTAGCATCAAGCAGGGCTTGCTCCAACTTGTCCACAGTGAGCTGGAAAGGGTGGGTGTTTGTGTCCGTGATCTAGAAGAGAAACACTACCTGAGAACTGCCTCTCTGTAAGTTTCCAATGTCCTCATTCTCATAAACCCCAGACAATCCTTTGCCTTCTACCAAGGTGAGAGTCCCACATGCCTTCTCCCTGATTTTCCCATCCCCCATCCACCATCATTGGTATAGGGAGAGAGCTAGTCAGTCCCCTTATGCCTTCAAGTGCCCCTAGCATAGTCCATGGTGTAGGTGGGCTGAGCAGGGAAGGGGCCCCATTCTGACCTCACTCTCCAGGTGTACAGGAAACAGCTCCACTTTTGCATACAGGTGGGAACTAAAAGTGAAGCCACCATAGAAGGGAGTGGGAACCAAAAAGGCTTCTGAAAGCACAAGGAGACACAGCTGTCAGTCTGGGGTCTCATAATTAGAACCCAACAGAAAAGGTCGATCTGGCACCCCTCCTGCCTGGGGATTAATGTTCTTGGGTTCAGGCTCTATAAAAGACATGTGTTCTTATGGATATCTTGGGAGGAGCAAAACTCTAGTTCCTCTTTGAGAGTACACTAGAGAAGAATATTCTGTGAATGGCCTATAATCCAAGGCATAAATCAACCCAGACTTGCTAATGGATGGAGCGTTGGTCATTAGGAGAGTCTCGTTTGCTCTAAGGACCACGTACATGAGAGCCCCAGCTATTCGGGACTGGTCACCCCATGTGTTCTTCTTCCCATCCTTTGGCCTCATTGATCAGCTTAACCAAGGACCCACTCCTTTGAGTGAAACCAGCCTTCTGACCACTTCCTTCTGTACTAGCAGAGCTCGTTAAGATCTGAGACTCATCAACCACAGTTCGAGTCCCGGACCCGGTGGCTTAAACTCACACTGGGAACGTGTGCGTGTGTGCGTGCCCAAGATCCCGAGAAGAAAATGGAGGAGAAGGGATTGTGGCATGGCCATCCCCCCTCAGGGGTGATTTCTCACTTTCTATCTCTCTGTCTCTCTCTGTCTTTCTGGCGAGCGCACGTGCCCTATAGTAAAAAAAAAAAAAAAAAAAACTCTCTCTCAAAAAAAGAAAATAGTTTGCTTCTTTCTTAAATGATTTAAGAATCAAGTATTGGTCTAAAAAAAAGGATCCGAGACTCATCTGGGGCATCATTAAGATGGAGATTGAGAACAGACTTTTGAACTTTGTTTGGACCAGAACTAGTTGTTTCCACTTATTTTAAAAGGAGGTACAAGATCAGCAGATGATGTAATGGTTATGTCATTGGACTCCCACGTAGTTGACCATGGTTCGAGTCTTGGATCCAGTAGCTTAAAACTCACACTGGGCACATGTGTGTGCATGCCCAAGATCCCAAGAGGAGAAGGGATTGGAGTGTGATTATCCCCCTGGGAGGTTATTTCTCACTTTCTGTCTCTCTCTCTCTCTCTCTCCCCAATGAACACAC